CTGTGCATATTCAATAGCACCCACCCCAAGATAACAAACTAGAGCACCCATGTCTCCATGAGGAAATCTCCTTGAAAATAATTAGATTACTTCCATTATGAACAATATTCTTCTGTGACTTACTCAAGCTATAAATTATTGCTCAAGTGCTTCAATGACTGAGGATCTTCTGTTAGGCTTGAAATTAATTTGCTCACACTCAGACCATCATTACAGTCACTTCTTTCTCTGTTTGCAGTGGCCCGATTTGTGCCTGACAGACTAATAAATGCCTGTAAATGTTCACAGTCTGAGAGGTTTCGTGGAGAAGATGTTATGAATCCAGCTGTTAACAGCAGGAAGAAACCTTTATTGACCTTTTGTTGCAATCAGTCTTCATGGTTTCATTTAATCTTTGTCGGTGTTTGCCATTAATAAGGACAGCACAATTTATGCCAGAAAATGTCAAAGAATTATCAGAAATGTTTGACTATTTGAAATTAAGGATGTTCTTCTGTGATTGGTCTACATGTTCCTGTCTGAGTTGGCCTGCGAGTTAAACCCAGACATCTGGCAACTCAAAAACTCATTATAATGCAGTTGATATGCCAGAATTCCTAACTACAAAAAGCTCCTGTATATTCTCTGTGGGTGTAAATCATACACTGTGCCTCTGTCTACTCTCTTCTGATAGTGTGTGTGGGTTGAAGGGATATTTGTACTCGTTGTCACAGGCTTTGATAATGTTTGCCTTCATCACAGGTTGCTTATTATCCACAGAACAGTCTTTCAGCACAACTTCCTCCAACGTCTGAAGAGAAAATCTAACCAAATCAATAAGATGGCTGCTAGATTAGTTACTCATTGTTCTGCACGACATGGAGTTTCTCTTTTATTTTCCTTTCCCTCACCAGTACAGATGTGGTTTGTATTAATGCATGGCTTTCACATTGAAGTATATTCAGTCACTGTAATATTAAATGATTAAACACATTTGTTCATTATGTATTATTAATTATGTATCAGCCCTGAATGTAACAATATGTTGTTCAAAGTTTATTAGATAAGTCAAAAATAAAACTGAATGCATCAATACATGTTGTTGTTAAATAATCAAGATGGAGCATGAAAAATATAAAGCTTTACACTGTAATATTTAATACTTTGGTAAAAACAAAACAAAAAGCTTTTTCCTTTACCACCAATAAATATTTTTTTTACCCCTCAGTGACTCATTTTATCTACTATCGCATTTAATCAATCATCTAGGCTACTGCATATTTTCCCCATGCAACAATTCCCATTATCCCCATCACATTTCTGTCTGTGAACTTTTATATAGCGTTAGCTACCTAACTTTGTCCGCGCTAGCTTGGTGGCAAAGTTACAGTGATAATTAAGGTAAAATATTCCATTTAGTGATTGCACATAAACTACATATTTTGCTTTGCATTGAGAGAGGTAATAAGTAACCTCTATTTCCTCAAATCACACTACAGTAAATCTTGTGGGCAGACTGAAATTAATATCTTTTGAGGGTGAAATCAGTTGCATTGTCATACAACAAACTTTCCCCTCATCATGCAAATCGTCATGATTTCATCGCTCTTCTTTTCCTTCATTAACACTTTTCATTTTGGTAATGTTAAAGATTTGTCACATGTTTTAAATCAATATGCAATCAAGGCGGTCTTATACCGACAATATTCAGCCGTCAGTCAAGCGGTATCTATAAGTACTGGAGGAAATATTTCTCTTCTCTTGATTATTCAATTTAAATCTGCGGAGACGTTTCCAATCATGGAACTGAAGGGCGCCAATGATGTGCTGATGCCCTCTATTTGAAAAGTTTCTGCCTGAGTTATGAAAGAAATTTTGCATTCACAAATGCACTGCTGAAAATGCAGATGGTATTTTAGGAGCATGGCAGTCTGCTTCCAACAGAGACAAGTGAAGGTGTCGATGCAGTAACAGCTGCAACATTTCAAAGTGATCATTTTGGCTTGTGTTGTTGAATATTCATTCTATTAGACTAGTGTCGTAATGGGGTTTGGACCTGGACTCTTTAGTTGAGGAGATTCATCCGTATTGGAGACGTTTTAAATTGTGAATTGTAGCCGGTCGTGTCATCAGCTCTTAGAGAGGTCCCTTGCTTTTAATTGCTTTCATGTTGTGCCTTTACTTAAATTTCATCATGTTCTTTTCATGGGTTTCAATAGGTCCAAATAATCTCCCCTGGGCCTCACCATTGATGTGCGATTAACAGTAATTAATCTAACTACTCTACACTGTGATTGTGTGACTTCGGTTGCAGTGCACTGTGGAACTAGAATCCTGTGCACAAATGGCGGACCCTGCCACTAACGATGAAGACGACTAAATAGCGAATCGTACTACAGTGAGATGTTTACACAATGTCAACATTTTGAATGACTATCGCTGAGAGTATCAAAAATGGGTTTTGATTTCATGAAGATCTTGAGGATTATCATCTTTAAGAGAGAGAAAATCTGAAACCCTTTGGAAGTGAAAGGATACACTCTTATCACCAATTTTCATAGCTGCATGTGACGTTGACGTTTTGTTTTCTCCTCTCAGCACGTTTAACAATATTAAACATGTTTAACATGTTTACTTGAAATAATTGCACTACTTACCCTGTTCTCCCCCACCATGTAGTGCACCATGGAACTAAGAAGCTCAATCACACACTCCAATTACAGCAAAGACAGACAATTAATTGTTCCAATAATCTGGTTTAATTGCTTTCTAATTAGCAGACAGTTATATTTTCCCTCTTTGGCAGGGAGACAGTCACTCTGTGTGCGTTAGTGTGTGTGTGTGTGTGTGTGTGTGTGTGTCAGAGAGCTTGGGGACACCACTGATGAGACTGTGAGCTTAGACTGAGGTTTTGAGGCGGGTGTATTCAGCATGTCAAGAGATGAATTATAATAATAGTAAAGTTTTTTCAACAACAGATGAGTGCTTCACATATATCCAAGAGGGAACACACACACACACACACATCTTCCGCTGCACACACTCCTCTTTGCGGCGACGTTACTGATCTGTGCTGACTCAGTGGCAATTTTCCAGATGAGCACTTAGACTGTGATCAATGAGCCGAAGTGACAAGGTAAAACCAAGTTGAAAAAAAATATATATCCATCTCAAAGAAAGATACCGCCATTTCATACATGTTTTGCCTCAATCGGTGTAAGACCACCAATAATGAAGCAAACCTTGTTTTCTAATCAGTAACAAGCTGCATCATCACTCTAAGTGACATTTTAGTGGCCTACTTAAAGTTTGAACTCTGTAAGTTTGAAGCGCCATTACTTACTGCCAAAATGCATCATCCCTCAAAGTGTTATTAAACTGGAGGAGTGAAGTGTGTGGTGTTGACAATATCTTGATTTGGAAAGTTAGTGTCCTTTATAAGGGTGAAAGGACAAAGGATGGCACTTTACAACGTTTTCACGTTAGAACAGTAGTGGTGTATGGGACATTGTGTTCGAAAGAAAACTGCCTTTAATTATAGCATCCCCTTTTGTCCAATCAGTTTGGGCAAAACTCATGGTCTTAAATGCTGGAACTACGGATGGGGTGATAAAAAGTACTCACAATGAATTGATCATGGGGAAATTCCATTATCGGAATAATAGTGAATATCCTCACATGAGTGACTTGAAAACACTGTCTAGCTTGCTATCAGGGTAGAGATGTGAAAAACAGAATCTGGTTTTAAAATGACAAGAATTACCATGCAAGAAAGTACAGACTCACGCAATGTTGCTATTTTCCCTTTACTTATGCAGGTGGACCTTATGATTACCTTATTTAAGATTATTTAATTTTGTTTTTCCACTAAAAAATGTCCTATCTGTGATGCATTAAATACATTTCTTTCTTAAGAAAATATAAGGTAAAAGTGATTCCAGCATGTTTAAGTGCCCTTTTAGTCTTGTCTAAATGCAAACAAACATGACTTGACTTTACACAACCTCCTGCTTTTGCCTCTCTGTGATGAGAGCTCTTCACAGTTGCTTTTTCCTCAAATGACACTGAGATAATAACAATTTCCTCAGCAGTCTTGGACGACGTATTATAAACAAATGTGTCGATATCTGTGTTCGTCAGCATGAAGTGATGTCTCATGCCAGATCATTTTGGAAATGATGAATTGATGAATGATGAATTCCCATTAAAAACACTGCAGGGGGAAATGGATAAACACCAGATTAGAGAAGGATGATGTGTTAGTCCTTCTAAAGAGTAAGCCCATGACTCAGACGTGAGACGTCAGCGGGCCGGTTAAGCAGTCACAGATGTTGTCCTGTGTGCTGGAGGTCAACGCACTGGGTTTCACTTTTGTGAATCAGTGGCAAACATAACGTAGGTACTCAAAGGTGTATGTGTAACGTGGGTAGCTTTTGGCCACATTATGGAGTATAGTTAGAAATAGGAAAGCATTGGGAGGAATAAAAAATAGCACGTATGACAGGCCTGATTTCAATCATGTCTGTCCTTCCCTATAAAGGGAAAGAGTGATGCTGTCTGTTATCACCGGTTTCTGACATCAGATGATGGGACAGAAGCGGTACTGTGTAATTTTGCAATGATTCGCTTTCCAACTGCAGTTCTACTTCCAAAAGATTTGTTTACATTGAGTCACAAAACACTAAATGGGCTGCAGGTGAGAACTCCCATCTATATGTTTTTTGGCAGACAACTAGAGCAAAACCTTGGTTCTTCTTGTATAATTTTCTTACAGGAATAGTTTATTATTTTGGAAGATATACTTATATACGTACTTATAGTTACTTATCAAGACTTGGATGAGAAGATTGACACCAATCACATCAGAGTGGTATCAATCTTCTCAGAAAGAAAGCAAATAAGAGTACATATTTCCCAAAATATCACTCTTCTTGCATTTTCATATATATTTTCATGTATTTCCTTTTCTGTAAGCGTGCCCACCTCTCTCTTCAACGTTTGTGTTTCTGACTTTTTCTTAGGTCTCATCGTGGGATCCTTGATGGTGTGCTGGCTTCCCAACCAGATTCGTCGTCTAATGATGGCCGCCGTGCCCAAGTCCCGCTGGACCATTTCCTTCTTCCGGAGCTACGTCACTCTCCACCCAGTGGCCGACTCCTTCTTCTACCTTAGCTCCGTCCTCAACCCGTTCCTCTACAACCTCTCCTCCAGACAGTTCAGGGAGGTTTTTGTTCAGGTGCTGCGGTGCCGCCTCACCATCGAACACATCAACAAGCGCACAGTGCGGAGCTCCCGCGCTGCCTCTGCACGCTCCCTCCAGCCCCTGCTGATCAAGTCATTGCGTCGCAGCAGGGCCAACCGTCCCACCCTGGCACAAGAGAAAACTCCTCCCACCTTTACAACCTTTCAGAGTCAAAGTGACTCAGGAGTGGCATCAAATACTGAAACTTCCCTCAGCCTGACTGAAGAGTCCGATACAATTCCCAAAACAAAGACAGATGTACCATCAGAGACTGAAGTATAGTGTGTTGTACAATTTAATGCAACACAATGAACAGTACAATTACATCTGCTTGTGCTGTGCCATCAGAAACAAATAAAGAGAAATTCCTTATACACAGTGAACACAGCAAGTTAAGTCAGAAATGATCAGATGACAATTTGGCACGATTAGGAAGCTTGATGGGACTCTGCAAGAAATTGTTATCAAGTCAGACAATTATTATACAAACGTTGAAATATTCAGTTCAACATAAAGACCCTCACAGCTTGAGTTAAAGTTAAAGGTACCCAGCAGAGTTTTTGACCACCAGTGCGGCTCCTTTTGGATGTTTGCATCTCGTGGGCAAACATCCCACGAGGACACACGTACACTCATAACACTCATTGTACTTTCATGTTGACTGCAGATGATTGCACATGTGCAGTGCATAACAAGGCCCCTCGGAACAGCACTGAGCTGTAAGGTGATTCTAGCTTAGTGGCCACAGTTGGAATAGCAGGTCAGTTGATATGCACCGGCCAAGACTACTTTTCCTTACATTCGTCACAAAAGGACTCTCATTATTAGCATTTTAGCCTTTAGGTCCCTCATTAGGCTCAATGCTCCCAAAAATGTACGAGCCCAAGTAACCAATAAAACTTTTTGTGTCATCCAACTTTCATTGGAACAAACTGTGGTTTTCTATGTATTGAATGTCCTTTAAACTTTGATGTCCCAATAACATTAATATCCTCATGTTCACGAGGTTGGTATGTTGGCCGACATAAAAATGAAGTTGTATCCTACATGTTGTTGTCCAACAGTTCATTTATTACACACTTAAGAGTGACAGTATGACAAGTTGATCTCTAGAACAACGTGCAGAAGCATTTTGTGATCTGACAGCCCTATCGGCAGTTTCAAATTACTGTTATACGAATAAAACTGTTTTATGGTGAGACAAGGCTTTGGCTAGGGTTTGGTTAGGGTTGGACACAAAAAGGTTATATCTAGGGAAAGATCATGGTTTGCGTTTAAAATTGTACTTGATAAAAAATAGGGAATTTTTGCTGTTAAAATAACTTCACTATATTTGTCATCATGGTTACAGTAATAAACATGTGGCTAGGGTAAGGAAACGATTGAGGTTGTGGATAAAAGAAAATGGGAAAGGAACAGCAATCTCCTGTGTTCAAATGTTTTGTTGCTCTATAAAAGACTGGTTCGGGACCCACAGGTGGGTCACAGGAGATTTTATCAGGGTCGAGATTTATCAAACATATGGCTGGTTCACTTATTCAAGACAATATAAGATGATGCGGAAATGGCAGTAACAATGGTCAGGAACATTCATTTATGCAAAAATGGGATTCTTCTCACGATTTACAGATGAGGCCTATTGTGAGTTAGGTCACGATTGTTTGTCATTATTAAAAAGTAGGTCCCCAGAAAAAAAAGTTGGGAAAACACTGCTCTACAACAACGTCACGTGTCTTCCTTGTTTGCTGCTAGAGGGCGCTGCATTTATTTTGTAAATGTGTGTTGTTTTGGGGCGCTTTTCTTGGGAGACCATTGTGTCTGATATATGATACAATGAGCATAATATGAACCTGGTGGCCATCTTAGAACAATTTTGTAATCAGTTCTCTTAATACATTCATGTCGGGCAAGCAATATGAAGTCCTGTGGCTTCATGTTATTGCACTCACTGACAGCTGGTGGCACTGAAGCCATAAGATACTTAGCAATGCATCGGCAAAGATGAGGCAGAAGACGACAGTAAGCTGGTGTGAACACAGGCGTTGGCCATGCGGATCTCAAAATATTGGCTGTAAAAATGCATTCAACATGTTTGTTAGAACTCCAGGACACTCCACAAAACTCCACAGGGCACCTTTAAGGTTCAGGTCACCTCAAAACCAACAACTCAACCACTGCAAAAGCAACGGAATATTACATTCAGATGGACAACACCAACGACTTTTAGCTCATCACATTACGTCTTGTCATAATATATGTGGCTCTGAAATAATCTCTGACATGGTATGCATACTGACGCAACATATTCCCTGATCGTAGGGAACTAGCATAACTTTTAGGGTAACTTCAGAACTCTTTCTTCAAAGTCCATCAGCAGTCTAGATGCCCCTTATCGTACCACACACTCACTGTACTACTGCTGCTCAACCTCAATGCAAACGGTTCTAGTCATTATAAATACAAAGAATATGTAGTAAGTAGTTTGAAAAAGGGTTTATGTATTTCAACATGCTTTTGCAGCTCTATGTACAATTTTTGTGAGCAGACAGAAATGGTTGTGACAGAACTAGTGGAGGAAAGTTTCTGGATACAACTTTTCCATGGCCTCCACTGATGAGATGATGTTGTATCTGTGAGGGGCTTTAGGGCTGTAGGTGGTTTGAACATGATGACTAGCATGTGTGATTTTCTTCATCAAATACCTTTTTCCAGACTGCACCGAATCATTAAACAGTATCATTGTCATACATATCATACATTGTCTTTTTCATTTCGTCAATACTAGAAGAATCTGTGATTGTCCCAGGTAAGGGTATTGATCTAGAATAAATCACAGCGTTATATATTTTGTAGAGCTTTTCCTCAGGCTCAGAGAATAAATGATGAATCTGAACTTACTATTTTTCCTGCAATATGTTGTATTTGACCTTGTAGTGCAAGTAAACAAAGACAGATGCGAATGAGCCACCTGCTGCCCAACAAAATAGCCAGAAGCTGTTCCATGTCCTCCACCTCACCTTATACCCACCTGCCCTTGTAGCTGCACCGCGACCATGTTTGTGACATGACACATGTGATGATAAAAACAAATTCCCAAAATTACATTTGGAGGCAAGCTGCGACAGAATGGAAGTCCAGAGAAGAAGTACTGTGCAAACGTTTCCCTGCTCAAAGAATATACATTTCACAGTATGTATTCCTCACTGTCTCAGTTAGTTAGTACAGTTCCAGTTCAAGTTGTCTCCACTGTCAAAACACATGTTAACTCAGCGTGTGAAGGTCTGTCAGCACAGTGTGGAGGACAGTAGCAGAAAAACATAGAGAGAAAACACGGGGAGCTGCGGCGTGGTCAGTGTAATGGCCGCCGATGGTTGGGGTCGTTTCTTCTGCCGTGGTCCATTACACAGCGGTGTGTTGCAGCAGGTGATGCACACTGAGTGGAGCTTGCCGCTGCAGAACTGCTGGTAACCAGACGAGGCGATAAGACAGGCTCCCGACGAGGCGCAGGACTTGCGATAGTGTATCCCTGAAATAAGGAAAGAAATGCATTAGGCTGGTAATGAGAGGATTAGAGGGTGTGAGTGTGAATGTGAGTGTGTGTGAGAGAGAGAGAGAGAGAGAGAGAGAGAGGGGGAACAAAGACAAAAACAGTGTGATTGAGGCATGTAATTAGGGTTTAAATAGCATGTATTCTTTCATCAAGAGGGACCCAACTTAAAGGGAAACATCTCTGGATAATTGGGCTAATGTTCCTTTTGCAGTCACTTAGTTCTACTCACGATTTGCATAAAATTGCCACAGTGTCTAGCATAATTAGTCCATGAATGAGGGAAAACAGCCCTTCTTGCTTTTTAACTGGTGCTCTCAGTGGGTGCGACTTCTCTTCTTACTGTGTTTATACATATCCAGAGGAACTTTAAAGAAAAAACTTGGAACCAACAATGCTAAATGGCAGCCCTGTGATTTTCGGGATAGTTAGTTTTAGCCGGCCGCTCGTGCCTTTTAGTGCATGTGAGGCAGCGTGCCCCACTCGGTAGCTCATGGCTGCCGCTCTACACTGACCTCATACGGTGGTTACAGCTGATAACGCCTTTACTGACCCATGGTGTCGTCGCGGAAGCATAACATCCACCCTTCGGTGGCCCCTCAGGTAAACTCCCCCTCAGGTAAGACTCCCCCTGGAGTCCGGTGACTTCACTTAATCCCCAGTATAGCTCCACCCACCATAAACCTGAGCAAAGTCTAATTGACCAGAAATAGAGACACCTGTGTGGGTTGAAAAGGCATTCACACAGCATCACATACTGTTAAAGATAAAGCTGTGTTGATCCAAACCTTTCTTTTATCTGCTTCTTTTTTATGTTTCCAGACAGGTGTTTCAAATAGAAAGTAATTGGCATCAATCTGCTACGAGTCTCTGCTCCAAATCTTCCCTTTTGTTTAAGACATCACAGCTCCTGCTAATGAATTCTGAAAGCAATGAAAGACCGCTGAACTTCTCAAGCAGCAGTCAGACATCAGACTTTTGGCTTTTAATTTGTTAAAAGCTGGACTGGGTACGTTTGTGCTTAAGTTCCCTTTTTATTAGAAACAATATGTTTATGTTGCCCATATGGCTATAATACTAAAAGAAGTTTAGATATTTTTTAGAACAACTAAAATACATTACTAGGAACCAGAAAATACTACATTTTAGAAAATAAAGTTTGATCACTAATGCTAAAAAACTGTCCGGTCTCTAACGGCAGCCACATGATCGGTGCATCTCTAGTAATCGCTGAAAGCATTTATCATTTTTTTTTAGCCCCCACAGCTGAGGTGTCACTTTGTATGTAAACACTAAAACAGTTGAAGTAACATTTAAAGGGTAAGAGATGAAAGTGCCAGCTGTGACAACTGCTAAAATGTCACTAGAAGAGTTTCAGTTGAGTAAAAATTGTGTCAGTTGATTTGTAGAGGCTGAAAGCAGTTGAAATGTCATTCAAAGTGTCTGCACTGTAAACAGTTGAAGTGTCAATAAGAGCTGAAGAGAGAGAGTTGTGATGTCATCTACTCATTCAGCCACTTTTAACGTTCTTCAATACACACCGATGTAAAAACTTTAAGTTGGTGTCCAATAACTTAAAAACGATGAAAGGTATAAAAAGAATGGAGCGAATATGGTCATATGGTAAGTGATTGTTTGAGGTGAGAAAAGCCATCAAATCTGTGTTCCCTGTCAGTGACTCATCCCAGTTTTACTGCACCTCATTTTACACTGACTGCCCATGTTATCGGCTCTCGCTATTTTCCAATTACTGCTCGAGATAAAAACCAACAGATTATGCAACCATTTATGACCACAGGATTTTCCTACAACGGACATTTTTAGGTTTGAGCATGAAATGACAGAGATCCTCGGACGTGTCTGCCATCCTTTAAGAGTGTGACAGCTAAAATTAGAGATATAAACACGGTGTGCGTCAGGTTTAATTCTCCAGGCTTTGTGGGAAGATGGGACATTTCCTTCCAACATCCTTGCAACATTTGACACAATGTTTCCAACGGATTCCTCAACACCTTCTGGGAACTCCAGGGATATTTGCATAAGAAATGGGAGAACGCACAATTTAAATGAACATGCAGTACTTTGGGTGTTACTATGCCTGTATATGTGTTGCACTCAAGTGGAGAGAGGAGGGACACATCACGCGGGTTATTGGAAGTTTATGTGCTCGTTTGAAAACAAAATGTCAGCCAAATGTTAACGTTTCCCTCCACTATTCTCACAAACAACTTGTTCCAACAAGCTTTTCAAGTACATCCATGCTTTAGTGCACAAATGAAATGTTCACAGCTGAAGGTCTCATAAATTCACCGGCTCCCGAACTAAACTTCATTGGGATGTGGATTATAGCTGCATGGTGATAAGTTATGCAGTCACTGGAAATGGCTCTAAATATGCTTTTAGAGTATTTTGTGATTTGTCTTTTACCAAACTACACAGAACACTAACACATTCACTTTTGCGCAGATTTATTTTAAATAGAACAGAGCGTTGTTGGTGTCAGTTGGGAAAACTCCTTATCCTAAAATGTAAGCGCATTGTCCCAGCACAGAGATTCCCCCTCTTAAAGTCACACATGACAAATGACCCAATGATGCTGTTCCATTCTTGTATTGCTTGATTTTGAGTGCTGCTTTTGACACCATTGATCACAGCATTTTATCAGACTGAGGCAATGGCTGGGTGTATCGGGTGCTGAGTTAAATCAAACTATGTCTTTCTGACAGAAAATTCTATGTGTCTGATAACAACCATATGTTGTTATCAGACACAACCATTTGCTGAGGTACCTCAAGGGTCAATTCTTGGAACCAATTTTATTCTCTTTTTATATGCTCCCATTAGGTGATATTATTCGTAGACATGGAGTTTCCTTCCACTCTTATGCTGATGACACACAGCGGTATGTCCCAATTAAGACCACTGACCTCAGTATGCTGAGTTCTTTACAGGAGTGAATGTATGTAAGCTGTCTCGGCATCTTGTTTGACTGTAATTAAACTTTGAACAGAACATTACTAAACCTTTTTACATAAAAACTGTAGACCGGCTACAGACAGTACAGAACTCAGCTGACAGGCTTTTAACTAAAGTAAACAGATTCAAACACATCATCTTGGGTTTAGCCTTTTTACACTGGCTTACAGCAAGTTTTGGATTAGAGTTCAAGTTTTTTTTAAACAATACTTACAAGGCACTCATGGTCTGACTACTAATTATAACTAAATTATTTTATCCCCGTACAGCCCTAGGCACACTTTGAGATCCACGGGGTAGGGGCCGTCTATCTGGTCCAGTCTCTCGGCTGAAAAGGGGTCCCAGGGCCCAAGGCTCTGCCCAAGGCTGAGTCAGTGGTTACTTTCAAATCTAAGCTTAAAACATACTTTTATCGCACTGCCTTCACTGATTTCACCTGATTCTAGTTTTTATTCTGTCCAGATTATGAGCGCCTGAGGCTAATTTTCTGTATCTACAGTCATAAAACGCATTAGCTCATTACCAACAACTGAACAATGTTAGGAATAAGCATTGCTGTTGGAAAATAAAACAGAAAACAGATGTTGTAGTGTAGCTCCCACTCTTCGGGCCAAAGCGCCTACCTATACGAGGACCAGATTAGTATTAGAGTTTAGGAGAGATCAAAGTTGCATGTTTACATTTGGCGTAAATATTGCTGCCCTCTGTGGATGTATTTAGGCAAATCTATCTGTTGTGTTCTTTAATATAGTATGGGTATTGTGTTTAGTTGCATGCAAATAATGATAAATAATTCCAGCCTATTAAGCAATTAAAGCGTTGTTATCAATCAAAGCCTTAATTGCTCCCTTACGCAAGTTCTGGCTGAGTAGACCTCTGCTTTTAAACATGTGTTCATCAGTAAACATCTGCTTAAATCATGTAAAAGTTTAATGATACTTTAATTTACATCTTAATAACCAAATATTTAATATGTTTAACAAAATCATTTTCAGTGGCTACTTTCCACTCGAGAACTCCTCCAAAGGGTGTAGATAACGATGGACCGCCAACCTGAAATATTACTTTCACAGCACATCCACCAATAGACTGCAGCTGTCCCGGCAGATAAATGTGTCAAGACAGTGCAGCACTTTAAATGATAAAACTGTGAGAGGGAGCTCACCTGCTGCTAGTGAAACCCTCTATCTCAGCTTTTCAGCAGTGCTCACTCTGTGCTCTGATACAACGGTACAACATATTTATTTTGGTTATTGCAGGTCTGAGAACTGACATCTGACATTCTCATTAATGGAAACGTTGAAGAGAAAAAGTCCAAGTCTATTATTATATATTATCTATTATTATCAACTGTAAAAGTTTCTAATTTGTAATTATGTTGTTAATGGTCTAATATTTTATGTCAGTATTGCCAAGAGACCTGCTCTAATCGAAATACAGGACAAATACACACAAACACCACCCTGGTACATGGTGGATGTATTCCTTATACACCAACTAAGGGCATGGAGAATATATGCAGTGCAGTTTTGCATTTGTTGAGCAAATATTACCAAAAGGAATCTCAGACAGCACAACAGGAAAACACTCACTTTCTACTGTTTGAAGTGCTTCGGGGGGGGATTCCATTTAATTTCTGCGCAGGGATTTTAAGATTTATCACTTTAATCTATCTTATGCTGTTGAGTTAATTTATGGGAGAAAGGGTGAGATTTCTTATCAACTTTGGAGCGCTCTGAGAAATTTAGTCTAATGAGAATCAGCATGGTCGGCTGCACAGGGACGAGTGAGCAGTCCAATATGTCCGAGAGTCTGGAGAACCTTTGATTGCCCTTCGAAATGAGATTTTAACCAAATAAATCAAATGACACTGATTGCACTTCTGTGGTTTTGAGAAAAGGCAAAGGAATAGGACAAGCATTTGGTTCCTAATAGTCATGTAGAGTTAGTTAATGCCATATATGAGAGTAGAAATCACAATTGGTTCAACACACATTTCTTCT